TTTGAACTGTCGGGCCATCAGTGGAGTGCCCCCAAAAGGGAAAAGTGTGGTTTGGGGGGGTGGGGGGTGGCAGGCCCAAACCGTGGCACGAGTAATTGATCACGAGATCAGGCGTCAATGATTTGCACTAATGGAAAGGTTTTTTTTTTTTGTATATATATTAAGTAGCGTGCAAATAATACTGGGGCCTTAACCGGTTGTTAATAAGGGGGGGGTTCAGGTGAGTTGAGATGAAGCGAGTGGGGATTTCGGGGTTATCATCGGTGTTTTTTCTTCTTCTTTCCATCTGTGTTTATCGATGGGGAACGTGTTGTCTGTTGGGTCCTAAACAAATAGTCCCTTCTGGAGCGGCTCAAAACACTAACCATTCACCCCGCCAACCGAGGGATAAGTTATGAGTGCTTCGCGGAATTGAATTACGGCACCTGAACCTATGTAACTTGGCATAATTTGAAAAATAATATTATGGAGCAATTATTTGTGCTGGGGCAGTGAGGGGGATTCTCTTCATCGTGATATCTTGCGTTGGTACTTGGGGTACGGTAGTCTAAGAGGTTTGGAGGTTTGCCCTCGCTGTGGAGGTAGAGATAATATATTATTATGATAATAATTATTATGACACTTATCATTCGTTCACCCAGGTAGTTTCCACCTTTCTCTTGCGCATCCGAACCTCGCGCTCCTATCCAACCCAAACTCCTCATTTGCATACCAGTCTGTCAGTCGGTCAGTCAGTCAGTCAGTCAGTTACTCTACCGCCTGTTGTTTATCACAAGTGCTGCTCGGTACTGTACTCGTACACTCCTCTCACTCTTACGCCTACCTTTCCCTTCCTTTTGCCCTTCTCTTGTACCCACCACTTCTCCACCAACCTCCCTTCTTTCCCACCGAGTCCACCACCCATCCTTCTGCCTTGACCTTTCCTTCTTCCACCACTCGCCGAAAATTATTCCGTTGATGCACATCGTGTAATTTTCTTTTCCTTCCCACCAATCCTTCTCTTGCCATTTGGAGGGGGGTGGTACCTGCCTTTTTTTCCCTCCACCATCTAGAGTAGTTCACGCTTTTCAACTTCGCGTGAACACCACTCTTGAGGCCATCTCATCTCTTCCTTCCCATGGCATCCGTCTCCATTCATCCTCCATCGCCGGCAGCAATGTCACGGAGGGCACCGCTAACTGCTCTACCGAACGCGGTAAACTCTCCCTACCACAGTGTCACGGCCGCGGCGGCGAAACGTCAGCGAACACAACGTGACTTGTACAGTCAATCTACAACTACCAAGGATCAAATTTCCGAGATCGCTCTAAGAGCACCCGCTCGGGTGTCCAATACCGAATCTAGAATTGCCCCAATTCGTAAGAGGGCCTTTGGTCGGTCCATAGCGGGCGGTGACCCGCCAACCTTTAATGGTGTGAGCCATACTCAGGTCCAGCGAAGGGGTGTTGGGAGAGGCACCGAGCAGAACAATATCGATAGTGTACGTGCTTGGCAACGGCATTATAAGAAGGTGTTTCCAGAATACGTTTTCTACTTTGAGAATATCCCTGAGGACGTCGCGCAGAAATGTCAGAAGCAACTCTCACATCTTGGAGCGGTATGTATAACTTGTGTCTGTTGTCGGGGATGAGCTTGTCTTTGGCAACAGTCTGGCTCCTGCAAATATTGACGCGTTTATAGAGGCTTGAGGTTTTCTTTTCTAACTCGGTCACCCATGTTGTTACAACGAGAGCGATCCCTCCAGAGGGTGCTACCATGGCACAAGCGGGCTCGAAAAGCCAGGCTGCTACCATCAATCCCTCTTTGCTAGATGGTGGCGTACCAAAGGCAGACTTTACTTTCAAGGCACCCACATCCAGTCGAATGTTCTCAACTTCCAGAAAGTAAGTCATTCACCGGATACCTCGATATGTATATTCAAGACACTGATCTGCTTGCCTAGTTCCCAGGAAGACCTACGTGGAACATCGCGGCAGGCGTATTGCGATATATTACTGAAGGCTAGGGAATACCGAATGAAGATATGGGCTCTAGAGAAATTTCAACGGATGATGAGTGTTATGTTTGATGTGACATCAACCGCTACCACCGCTACTCAAGGTCGGGAAGTCAGCCATGCAACACACGGCGCTCCCAACGTGGACCTCACCCATGTATTACGAAACGAGAGACTTCATGGACCTACAGATCGTGATCCAAACGCGATGGTCACAGATCTTGTTTACTTTAAAGGGCACTTTATATATGTTCATGATATGATGGGAGTTAACCGCCCGATTATGGTTAGGGAGTACGCAAAGGTTGCAAAGCGTGAATGTGGGAATTGGCCGCAGTTTCGGAGTGTTAGTGGTGGGAAGTGCCCATTCATTGAGGAAGCCGTTCATCAGAAGAGAGAGAAGGAGCGGGAGAGACAGATTGAGAAGATGGAACGCACAAGACAGAAGGAGCTGGAGATATCGAGAGGGAGGGTTGCTAAGTCTAATGCTCGTGAGGAATTGGTGAAAAGGAATGACCGAAATGCACTTGTTGAGATGAACAATAGTGAACGCCGGTTGAACCGTAGTGGGGTTGTTGGCAGAGACGGATTATTCCAGGTTCCGCCAATTATTCCCGCCAAGCGCACAAACGTCCACTCCGCCAATGAGGTCGCCTTTACTTCTGCATATCCAGACAAGAACCGCGGTGGGGAACCCGTTGCTTCTGGAGTGCAGCCATCTAACATTACTTCTGCCATTCGCTCGCAGATGATTTCCTCTATTGCCGATCAACCGGGTCGACGGGCAGGAACGTCTAAAACTATGATTGAGCTTAACCGCAAGGTCCTTGTAGGAAACAGCAAAGGGATTCCAGCTTCTCAACGTATGATGGATTTGACCAACGCTGCTGCGAATAGCCAGAACCTGGCCGGAGGGATGGACAGGAGGCGAAGGCCCGGTTTGGACCAGAATGCAACAATTCGAGAGGACCGGAGCGAACAAGAGAGGAGGCTAAAGGCAAAATCAAAGGGCAATAAGGCTGCTCCTAAGAGAGAGTGTCGTCCGGGATATTGCGAGAATTGCCGGGAGAAGTTTGAGGATTTCGAGGAGGTACGTGCATTTTTTGCTACTTCATTTATCGTTCGGCCCTGCTGACATTTTGATTTCTAGCATACCTTCTCTCGCCGCCATCGCAAATTCGCAGCCAATGACGACAACTGGGCTGACCTTGATGATCTACTCTCTGAGCTGAAAAGGCCTCTCAAGGCTTCTGCCAGATGTGGGTAGCAGTACTTTATTTCTTGCATTGTGTGACTAACTTAATTCTTTGCGTCCTTGATATCGCTTGTATGGTCACATTCTGTCTTGTATTCACTTTTTTTTATTTTCTTTCTTTTCTTTTCACTTGAACGCTTTACTGTTTATTACTTATGCCAGCAGCTTTCAGCTGCTCTTGTTCCCCATATCACCCCAACCCTAGGTTCTATCATTTTTTTCTTTTAAGTTTTTTTCCCCTTTTTTCTTCCTCGCTTCTTTGGCGCTGTATTAAATTCTGGTACTTTTGGAATAGTGCTCGGCGAAAGTCTAAAAAGCGGTAGGGGGGCATCGTGGTTTCTGCATTTAACTATTGGATTGGTGGATTTCACGCGGGCTGGTGTGCGATCCTCTGGCTGTCTTTCCTTGTAGGTATGATAGCTATTGTCAAAATGAGGCTATTATGTAGTATATATATTTTGAACTGCGATTATTCTCCTGGAGCCGGTTTGATATGTGACTATTGGATACCGGTGTAATATAGTCATTAGATTGGGATGTTTGAATGGTTTAGCATTGTTCTTTGGCCTACCCCGAGCCTGGGGAGGATCCAACGAACGGGAAATACAGTTTATTGGCATGTGGGTAGCGGCAATGGGTGATGGAGAAGGTTAGAGCAGAAGATGCACCATGTTTGGCAGGCACAGATCGTAGCAAGTCAATACGTTTTGCGAGGTGGCATTGGATGGTGGAGGTTGAAGTGAGCTATTATAGCATATGCATTGATCTTCCCGTCAAAACAAGCAGCTGAGGCCGAGCCTTGTGGGGGGGGCTGACGGAGAAGAAAAAGGGATCCAAGACCTGAAACCAAACCCGTGTCCTTTTTGACCATTTTGACATTTCGTTCTTGGCATCCTCCAAACCTAGCATCCGTGTTCTCTGCCACCTCTTCCACGGAACGTCCCCCAATAACATAAAGCACACTCCGCTGGTCTCTTGCCCTTTTCTGTGGTATCAATAGTTTTCTCTCCCCCTCTTTCTCTCCCTTTCTCTCCTTCCTCTCCCTTCCTCTCCTTCCTCTCCCTCCCTCCCTCCCTCCCTTTCCCACCCCTTAGCGTTCAACCGTGGTGTAACAGCAAGGTCTTCCGTGCTTGGTCTTGAACTATCATCGTGTTGTGAGGCATCCGGAATTGACATCTCTAGTAGATTCTCCAGGTACGATGCTGTCCTTCGGGTTTCGTATTCCGAGTCATCCCATTTTATTCTCGCCTTTGATATCTTAGTTTAAATTTCTTTTTCTTTCTGGGTTCCTTTACCTTTCTTATTCTATCTGAGCGTTGCCTCATTTCGTGGCACCGACAGAGTAAGCTTTAACAGCGCTATCGGAGTTTCTCCACCGGATCCCTTTCCCCGCCTTCACATTTTCTCGCTCTTGGGTTTGTGAGAGTTTCTTGGGCTGACCGTTATCTTAGCTGTGGATCTCTAGTTCTCCGCAAGGGGGAACCTATACTTTCTAACTGCATTCGAAAGGCTCTCTCACCCGAACGATTTCTAGCCCCAACTTCATGTCTAAACAATCCAACGGCACTAATGGCGCCCCTCCGGCTGAGGGGAGTGCTACCCAAATTACCGTCGTTGCTCCGGTTGACGAAAATTCTGTCGAAGCTGCCAAGGAACTCTCCACTGCTGAAAGGCTCATGCAGCAGCACGCCATAGTTGCTCAGAGGGAGGCCACCACTTCCCAGGCCAAGAATGAAGACGCTACTGTCACTGATGCCCCTATTGCCAAGGTTGAGAAGAGATTCCCAAAGCAGAATGAGAAGCCTGAGGTCCGTGGTCTCGATGTTTCCTCCGATGAAGCTTTCCCTACCCTCGGCGGTGGTTCCGGCAAGCCTAACCTCGCACGCGTTCCCTTCGGATGGGGTGCTGGTATGGCTGCCCCGATGGCAAATGGTAATGGGTATAATGGGGAATCTGCAACAGCTTCTGCTAGTGCTTTCACTCCAGCCGTACAGGGGTCTAGTGGTCAGTCTACCATTTACCTCTTGCCGACTCAGAAAAGACATTTGAGCGAGCTGAGGAAGCCTCCTAACGAATTGGCCAAGGATATCATGAGAAGCACTGGTACCAAGATTGAGATGCAACAGACATCTACGCAAACTACTGTCTTCATTATCTCTGGAACCGAGGCCAACAGGCAGAAGGCTAACAGAGAAATTCACAAAGAAATGTCTGCGAAGGTATGATTTATGGGTGAAGGTGGCTCAAGTTCGGGATTCAATATTGATTTGGGTGTCAGAAAACTGTTACCATCGAGGTTCCGGCCATTGTGAGACCTCACATTATCGGGAAAGCGGGGATCAAAGTTCAAGAATTGGAGAGTATGACCGCTACCCGGATTAAAGTTCCACAGCTGCAGGCCTCCGACGGACCACCCGCCGAGTATGACGATGAGGACACAATCGATATCACAATTGAGGGAGACGAATATGGCGTTACGATTGCTGTGCACAAGATCAAAGAAATTGTTGCGGAGAGGGTGAGTCAGCCTGTCCCTTGCACAAAGCTTCGCCAGCTAACATTTTGCAGACGATCACTGTTACTACTCGTATCCTTGACATCCCTGGCGAATTGTATCCTTTCATCCAAGGCCCGCACCGAAAGTTTATCGAAGAGTACGAGACAAAGGTTCAGAGAGTACAGGTTCCTGACTACTTTTACTCGGCTAAGAATCAGCCTTTCAGCCCTCCCTCCGGCCCCATCGTTATTACTGGTGAAAAGAGAGCGGTCCAGGAGCTTCGCGCTGAGATTGAGCGCAAGGCCACAGAGTTCAAGGCTACCTTTCATTCTGTCCCGGTCCCCGTCAACAAGGCAAAGCACCGTTTCTTCACTTCAAACAGAGGCCAGCTGATACACCAGGTTCTTGCCACGGCAGGGTGCACCGTTATCTTACCCGAGGGCGCCAAGGTTGATAGCCTCATCGTTTATGGGCCGAGTGATAAGATCCCACAGGGCTACCAAGAGGTCATGAAGGCATCAAATGCTTATCAACAAGTTGCGATCGATGTGTGCAAGGCCTATCCCAAAGCTCCCGGTGGGCCCAAACTCCCAGCGCGAGATATAACCCGCTATCTCGATCACACGGGGGAATTCCAATCGCTCCAATCCGAGTTTGATCTTGAAATTACAACTCCCTCTCGTGACGAGCTGTATGACCTTGACAAACCATGTGTCATTCATATTATTGGAAAGTCAAAGGATGGTGTTAATGGGGTGAAAGCTAAGATCCAGGAGCTCTACAGCAAACTAACGCCAGGCCATATCTTGCGGTTCGAGGTTGAACCTTTGCATCATAGATTAATTGTTGGAAGGGATGGTCGAGGTGTCAGAAGGATTACTGAGAGATTCCTCGGCCTTTGTCTTCTACTCCCGGAAGATGTGGGAGAGGCGGAGATTGTTTTGATCTATGATGGGCCTTCCCAAGACCCCGAAGAAATTTCTAAGTCACTCGAGGAACTTAAGGAGCATGTTTTGTCGTTGGTTGAGGCTCAGAAATTTGATGTTGCGGAGAAGATTATTACCATTCCACATGGTTTTCATGCTAAGGTTCGGGGAGAGGAAAACACTACTCTTAATGCTCTGAATCCAACCTCTGTCCATGTGTATTTTGGTGCGCTAAAAGCACGGCTCGGAAACCCAGCAGCAGCTGCCTCACCAGGCGATGAGGACAATATTACTATCCGTGGAGCTAAGGCGGGTGTTGATAATTTGGCCACAGCGATCAAACAATTTGTTGCGAGCATCCCTGAGGATGGAAACATCCCCACTGTGTCCGAACAATTCACTTATCCTACCGAGCTATCCGCTCAGTTGATTGGTGCAAAGGGTGCTAATGTCAACAAACTAAGGGCTGAACTTGGGGTGGAAATCAATCTTAAAGAGGGACAGGGCGAGATCAGGGGCATTCAAGTTGCTGTGGATGCCGCCAGGAGAAAACTCAGCCTCCAAATTAAGGAGCTCTCGGACAAAGATATCAAACATCTCAAGATTCCTCAAGAGTTTCACTCTACCATCATTGGTTCCGGGGGAAATTCAGTTCGCAAATTGGAGACAAGATATGGTGTTCGTATTATGTTTCCTAAGCCAGGCAGGGATAAGGATGCCGATGGCGCCGACGTCCCTGCCAAGCAGGATGCGAACGAGGTCATTGTCAAGGGTGGCAAGGATGGTGTAAGCAAGGCCCGCGACGAGATTCTTGCATTGTTGGAGTATGAGAAGGGTAAGAGCTTCACTACTAGTATCCCCATCACGGGACGGGGACTTGAGTTCATGTTCAAGAATGCCTCCAAGGAGATTAAGCAACTCAGAGATGATTCAAGTGTCAGGCTTGATATCCCACAGCGCGATGCTATTGGGAAGGACGAACAGGCCGTCATCAAGATCCGTGGAACTGAAGATGAAGTCAAGAATGTCAAGACAATCTTGTCCAAGATTGTTAAAGAGGCAGAGCAGACCACACAGCGAAGTATCAGTGTTGAGAAGAAGTACCATCGTTCATTGATCGGCCCGGGAGGTAGGACAGTCTGTATTTGCGGATTTAGTTAGTTGCTAATTGTGTATAGGTCACACTCTCAAGGAGATTGTTGTTGGTGCTGGTGGCCCTCATGATAAACATGCGCTTGCTCGCACAGTACGTTTCCCGAACCAGGAGTCCGACAGCAGTGAGATCATTGTTCAAGGAAGCTCCGCAGTTGTCGATAAGATCGTTGCCGCCATTGAGGAGATTGTGGAGCAGAAAAATAGCGAGATCACCGGGACCGTTGAAGTTGCGCCAGAAAAGCACAGGCATCTCATTGGGCGCGAGGGAAGCATCCGTCGGGAGTTGGAAGCCAAGTTCAGGGTTACCATCGATATTCCCCGGCAGAAACCTGGTCAAACCAATACTAGCCCTGATGTCAAGATCACTGGTATCGCCGAGGACGTTGATAAGGCCAAGGACCATATTCTTGAAATGATCAAGGAACCCGAAAGTGAGACAATCGAGATCCCCACTCGCCTGTATCATGCTATCGCCGACGGTGGCCAGCTTATCCGTCGCCTCCAACGAGATTTTAGGGTATCTATCGACCACAACGGACAGCAGCGCCCCCCGAAGCCTGAAGAGCCGGAACCCGATCTCAGTGGCTCTTTTCCATTGATCACCGATGATGAAGAAGATGCCTCGCAAGGCTTTACTTGGGAAGTTGTGGAATCAGATAATCAGGGTGGTGAAGAGGGTGACTTTCCATGGGTTATCAGAGGGAAGCTAGAGCAAATCGCGAAAGCAAAGGCCGAGATTGCGAAAGCTGTCGCGTTAGCACAACAGCAGTCATATATAGGATACCTTGTCCTACCGGACTCTTCCAAGTTCCGCCTCATCATTGGGCCTAGTGGAAGTCAGGTGGAGAAGATCCGCCGTGATACTAGTTGCCGCATTGCAGTCCCCCGTAGCCAGGACGTTGGTGAGCCGATTGTCATGCACGGAAGCAAGGAGGGTGTCGAAAGGGCCAAAGAGATAATTCTCGGTCTGGTCAATAATGGAGATTCTAATGGGCATGGGCGTCGTCGTGGTAATGGCAACGGCGGTGCCTAATTTGCCCACTTTGTTGAATCGTGTCATTCTAAAGGATATTGGTAACCTTTCGGTGTTTTATTTCAAGGGTAGGGTCGATTGGCTCTGATATTGGAGGTTAGGTCGGCTCGGGGGGTTAGTCAGGGGATATTAATGGAGCGAGAAAAATAAAAAAATAAAAAAATAGATAGTTCTCATGTACGGTGTGGGTAGTTTTCCATTGTATTTGGGGATAAGTGGCCATATCGTGTCCATACTCGTCTTTACCCGTTGGACTTCACGGTGACGTGCCATCTCTGTTCTTCCCCCCCCTCTTTCACTTTCCCCTTTCGAATTTTGATGGCATGGGTGATGTTTTGTCAGTTGATGTTGACGTTTAGCGGAAAAGTTATTTGTATGGTTTACATGATTATACGACTTGGAGTGTGAGTTCACTTTAGCATGAGGTTAAGATTATGAGGCTGCGGTGGGGTCAGGAGGGGAGAAAGGTGAGATGATAGCAGTTATCATAATCGTACCGTGCTCTTGTGCCAGTATTGTGCGTGGACAAAATTAACCGCGATTCAACAGAGGAAAATCTTCGGCAATGACAACCACACTCACCCACCAATCCACTATCATGAAAACCAAAAAAAAAATTAAAAGATGTAAATACATAGTAGAAATTAATATTTGGTATACCATCCATCAGCCTTAATAATTGCCCTCTATTCTATCCACCATTGATCCAGTTAAAGTATCAAAAACCTTTGGGTCAAGAAGTTCCCAACAATGAGTGATGACCTCTACTATTGTCTTCTTGGCCACATTGACATCACCCTTCATAAAATATAGCTCAGGGTAGTGCTTGTGAAGCTTACCTTTCATCAGAGACCAAATATTTTCAATTGGATTGAGATCTGGTGAATAGGCAGGAATTTCCATCAGTGTGATTCCCTGCCCTCTGAGCCATCTCCTAAAAGGAAAGTGAGTCTTAGCATTGTCAATAACAAAAAATACCTCTTCTTCACCAGCCTTTTCTCTGATATTCTCCACATCTCCTTTGTTCAATTCCTATGAGCTAATGCCCATTCCAACCTCTCTTGAGCTAGATCCTCATCCAAATAAACTCTCTCTTGTACCATCAACTTTTTAAGATGCTTTTTTTCAGGTCTTCTCCTTACTGTCCTACTAGAAACATTGGGAGCAACTTGCTTAACAATATCAGAATAGGTAGTATGGTGATTTTTAAGAGCTTCCTCTACCATAGTATCATCTTGTAACTTGGTAGTTTTAGGATGTCTTTCTCTACCCTTATTCTCCTTGCCCTCCTGATGTTCCTTTGCAATTGTATCTCTGACAGTAGTATAGGGGATATTAAGGAAGTGGGAAATTTGCTAATATCTCATCTGAGGCTTGTGTAACCCGAGAATCCTCCCACTGGTAAACTCAGAGAGATATGTGGAGGGAATAGGTTTTTTGGCATGACTGTGAAGAATAGGAGGCATAGTTTATTGAAAAAAAGAATTGAGCAGAATGGTTTCTTCTTGGTTGACTTAGAGCAATTTTTTTAGGTACTGTTGAGAGTGCGGGGTGATGAAGAGGGGTGGGTTGCCGCCGATTGTTGAATCGCGGTTAATTTTGTCAACGCACAATATTGACATCCAAGCGTGGCTCCTCGCCAACAATGGCAGACATCCCTTGAACCTCATGGTCCTGGAATCGCGCGCCGACATGGGAGTGGACCGCAGCCAAACGCCCGAGGCTGCTAACGGGACATACCCGTATTTTGACCCCAAAGTCTGGGATCGCTCTGGGCAAGTGGAGGACGACAAGGAAGACGAAGAAGACAACGAAGAGGAAGAGGACGACGATCAGGAGGGCGGGGGTAGGGGTATGGGGGGGAAATCAAGGTTGGACTGGGCGGAGCTGGACGACACGGACGACGAGGAAGACGAAGAGGACGAGGACGACGAGGACGAGGCAGTGGATGGTTCTCGGAGGCGCCAGCAGGACGGCGTAATCGTCATCGCAGATGTAAGTCTCTACGCCTTAAGTTAACTTAAGATGCAAATTTCATAACTGGACTACCGGGGTAGAATGGTGCATCAGGGCCCTCGACGCAATCCCGCAGGGCGAGGCTGCGCCCATGGGATCAGGAACTAGAGGAGGAGCTGGTGAGCTCTACCAGCGATCCCTTCATTGCTGGGTCACGCTCCGGGCCTTCGATGCCATCTGAGGCTGAGCAGATCAGATACATTCGAGAGGCTATCAGTAATCACCCCTAGATGTCGCGACTCCTGACGGAAGAAGCCCGCCGGCGTGTTGAGCTCGATGGTGCCATGGACAGCCCTCCTGCTGACCCCTCAGGCACCTTCGTAGAACGTCCGGCTGCCCCCTCTCCCCCATTAACCCCACAGTCCCTCCCGCTCCCGGAGCTCCAGATGCTGCGTCTATTGCTCCAGCTCCCACGACGCTGAACGCTGCGTCTATTTCGCCGCCTTTTACAACCTCCGATCCTGCGACGCCCATTGCCCTCCTCTCCCCCGTCAACCCCACAGCGCCTCCAATTCCCGGAACCTCAGATGTTGCGACTATTGCTCCAGCTCCCACGACACCGAATGCTGCGTCTATTCCGCGACCTTCCACAACCCCCGATCTTGCGACGCTACACCGACGAAGCGGCCGGATTGCCAAAAAATGATTTTGGATGCTTGGAGGATGTTCTTTGGCTTTTTTTGTCAAGCTGTCTCTGATTGTGATGCTGTTTTGTGGTGGAACGTCTGGAATTGTCCCTACAGACTCGGAGTAGTGTGTTTTTTTAGCTAGTATCATCCTAATCTTACCATTGAGCCCTTGCTTTAGCGTCTCATACCTATTTCGATCTCTCGTGCCAGGCACTGTATAAGATAGTGATGCCCTTTCACCCCCTTACCCTGGCATCGGGGATTCTCAACCTCGCCTTGCCTCGCCTCAGCAGTTCTCGTATGATATTTGAAATTCTTCTGAATTCAGCGCCTCTCGCTTTCTCGGTCCAGAACAGGCCTGGCGTCGAGGGACCATGAATACTGTTATCCGGATGTTCCGCGGTGCTGATTCAACGTCCGGAGATGAGGCTCGAGAGCTCTAATCCATTTTAGGCACGGCATATGTCACGCTAGAATTAACGTCGCTAACTGATACTCGTGGTGGCTAGTTTTTGCCCAGCCTCCTACCTTAGCGAGACCTCATCCCGTCCGACCTTTTCATACCAGTCTCTAAACTACCGGAATTGAGCATATCCAGATCATGAACCTAATGCTGAGTGATGGAAAACCACTTTTCTCAGGCGTAACTTTGCATTCAATACCGAGTGATAGTCTGTGATGCCACTCCTGGACCCTATGTCCAGCGTATAAGACCTGACGCGTCATGTTAAACCCAAGAAAACTACGCAACCTCCTCTTCTTTACAATACTTGAGATCCGTCCAATTCTCCTGCATCCCTATATCCTGAAATTTATCTTGCTTAACGATCACTACGTTTGTATTGCACCATGGCTAGGGGACAAGCTAATTCACGCAGTCAGTCGACACCCCCGAGTAGGCAACCTGGCCCGCCGTAGACACGAGGTCATACCCAATTCCATGGGCTCCAGCCAGCCAACTCCCCGAGTAGGTAATCAGAATGGGCCTAGACGCGACGTCGTATCAGATTCCATGGGATCCACCAGTCAGCCAACTCCCGGAGTACAAGCAAGCAATCAGAACGGGCGTAGACGTGGCGTCTTACTTGGCAGCAGGGGATCCGGATCGGGATCGAAGCAGAACCAATCTGGCTCCTCCCGGACAACACTGTCAAATTACCAACCATCATGTCGGAGCCCGTCTCCTGGGTCAAATGAAACCAGTGTTCTCGCAAGGCCACCCAAGCGCCCCCGGGGGTCGAGAATACAAACCAGGGCATATATCGAACCTGAAACGGAGCTCGATGGATAAGAGCATTTGGAAACGGTTCATTTAAGCGACGATAGCAGCGATGCGTACCAAAACCTAGGCGACGCTGAAGAAACCGAATCAGATACTGAACTTGATACAGAAACGCTTGATATTGAAGAAGGTACAGCGTCGGCGCAGCGTCATGGCTCGCAGGCAGCTGGCCAACAAGGAAATAGTGGCCCGATGACTGTGTGAATTTCAACAACTTCCGGATCGCAAGAAGTATCTCTTGTTAGGCGCACGCCAGTGGCTTGGGGGCGCACCATACGTGGCAGAGCCTACAGTCCACCGACGTTCCCGTCATCTAACAGAAAGATATTCGTCCCCGCTGGCCACCCATAGTATCACCACGTCTGGCGTCAGAAGCTCGAGTCCACTAAGTGAACCGGGTACACCAAGTCACGGGCGTATCGGGCCCGCAATAGACTCGTGGCGAAACACAGTGACAGGGGTAGAAGGTGCTATATTAGGGAAGGCGATAGCTCTGATGCTTAGGTACACCCTTTTCGATGACCCACTCCCGAACGCCGTTGCTTTGACGTCGCAGGTGTACACGGTTTGGAGCAAGGCGCAGGATGCGATATCCGATGCAGGGTATATAGATCCGTCGGAGGAGAGTTTGAAACTAGTAAGTTCACTTAGGCAACCATGATACAGCGCAGAATAGGGTGTTAACAACCAAAGCTTTGTGGTAAACACACGGCAGTCAGAGGGCAGTTCTTGTTCCATATCAGTACCAATATCGAAAAGTTGTATAGTCTTCCGAAAGACCCTACGGCTGTTATGCACAGGGTTGATTACCTCCTAGAAGGAGACAGGTTCATGTGCTCGCCCAATGGATATGAGGTTCGTCTTAAGTGGTTTATGACGCGGACATAGTGGCTGACTGAGCTGGGCGTAGAACTTGACGTTCAGGTTCCTTGCGCCTCAAATTGCCGACGCGATATACGGCAAGGATTTCGATGGGGTAAAAATGCAAGGGATGCTGGACCGGGGATTTTTGAAGCGGATCAATGGTAATATAATCTGCCTGACGCGTGCGATGCTGTGCCATGTACTGCGGGCATGGCAAACCGAGATATATAAGACCCCAGCCCAGTTCAAGCATGATGTAGTTAGAGGTAAGAGCGTCTGAATCTTGGGGGGTGTTGTAGAAGACCAAGACGGCTAATAGCTGACAGAAACGTAAGACCTTTTTGTGAGGAAGAGAAATACGTGGCTGGGGTTCGCAAAGGAGACGCGGGAGGCGTTTGTTTTGAATCTTCGTCGGACCATTTCTCGAAGGCTTGAGAATCAGCATAGCATCCGGCAGGAGCGGCGTGAAGGCTTTACGGAAGACAATGACGCCATTTACGCAGAACTGCAGCATCAATCAGCTGGTGAGAGTCACGGACAGCCTGCAAGGCGAAGACAGACGCCGATTGACTCACTAGTCCGGAGCCTGCCAGTGGGATGGGGCCAAGATAGCCTGGATCCGTCGCAGGAAACAGATACGTCTTTGGATTTCAGCCAGATGTCGGTTGACTTGGAGTCGGGGTTTTTGGATTTAGATCCCGCTGGTCCAGAAGAGGGATGTCGCCGGACCGAGGAACTAGGACCGGAGAACGCCAGGAGCCCTGATCCATCCAGCCCCCTATCGCTCAGGCTCGAGGATTTTGAGGCCGGGGAGGCTTCACCGGGGGGGTGGAAATGTGCAGCAGGACTCCGAGGGCGGGCAGGAAGAAGTGGGTATCGGAGGGGGTAATTAGGAGGATTTTGGGCCTGTAGAGTAATTAAAATAGATTTAGATTATCCAATAGTGATGTGACGAGAATCAGAGGCGTATAGATGTGAGAGATGTTAGCAAGAAGTGATGTCCCGATAGCGAAAATAGAGTAGAGAAAACGTCACGATGAAGTAGGGAAGAGGGGGCGAGCATCGAGAACACCTCGGGACAGCGTCTAGAATATGTCGGGACAGTGTCTAGAATACGTGTGAAAAATGGTGAAGCTATAACCAGGCTATCTGGAATAAGCGGTATGCCATCAGAAGATATCGGGAGGGTATCCAGATGCCGAGCAGATGCATCTGAAGGAGAAAGCGAGATTCTGGACGCTTCACGAAGAGGGCAAAACTCCAGACGAAAGGAGGATTATGTATGGACTTCCGGATGAGAAGACTATAAATTGGGCGGCCAGAGTAGGGCTACGGGAAGGAACCGAAGATCATCTAACGTCGTCAGGACGCGGGAGAACACAAAAAAGATCTTCCGAATGCGACGTCGATCTGATGTCGCATCCGGAATGGAGGTGTGCGTTTTGGGCGTCCTGTGCGTCCTGTGTGTCAGACGCTGAGGACACAGTAATATTTTTGCTAATGTGTCCTCCCAAACTGGAAGATATATTTAGTAATTTCTCAATCTGGGTATTAAGGAACAGGGAGTTACCTATTCCTCAGCATCTGTGTCAATCTCTATTATTGAGGTGATGACCTGCGGACTTCAAGTAACCTCTGTAAAGGAGGTTCTTCAATGCGGCAAGTTTTAAGTGCTAGGCTTTCATCTGCTTTGGCCTGCTCTGGGTTTTTTTTTTCTTTTTCTCTTTTTTCAGCAATGATTTTGTTTTGCAAACATAATGACAGGATCAGCCTTGGAGCACTTCTACCAGAAGTGTCCACTTGTCCCACATTTCGTATATTGCAACTTTTCATGCTACTTATTGAGTAGTATACTCGGGATATTCTTGTACATATTAGCATGTACAGAATTACATTTTATTCACTTCGAAGCGGCCAAAGACGTAGCATGTTAAGTTTTAGGCTCACCTGAAGCATGTTTCTTTTTCTACTTGTTTAACAATGATCCTCTATCGTCTGACTTGTTAAACCTCAAACTACCCTGATCTCTTGAAATTAATTTACTAACGTGGGTATCATCTAGTAAGGTGTGACTTATTATACCTTGGAAAGCAGATCAACATATTTGTTTACATCAGGGGACTGGGGTTGCAATAATGCCTACGTCATATAAAGTTCTCAGGTTATCACCATCTTTACCTTATCAAGAATCTGCTTTCCATTAGTATAGCCAAGTTGTGCTATGTGGTCAACCAACATGTCAAGGTATTTAGTAACCTTACCTGACTTCATCTTCAAGTCTGACCATTCTGCAAGACTGTGGTCCTGATCCACATCTTCACTAAAATATTTCTATAATAGTTGCTGGAAGCCTTTCCGAGTCCATAGTGAACTATTTGTATTAAAGACTATTCCGAGAAGAGCTGCCTTACCCTGATCTAATATAGTAATGAGAGCTTATATACCAAGTTTTAGTGGAAACTTCAAGCAATAAAACCTTCAAGTAATAGAAAAATGAGGGCAATCTTATCTACATTATCTAATAGACAATTATGGAAATAATGAAACTGGATCTTAATGTCCATTAAGAACTACTTGGTATCAGTAGAGTGGCTATTAAATACAATAATATTTCGTGGATTTTCTGGCTTCATTTATGTACTCTTAGAACCACAACCTAACTTACCAAAATAATTGTATACATTGAAAGCAACTGTCAATTGAACCTAGACAACAGTTATAATGATTGTTCTAGTACTCAGTTCAAGTAGGCTTTAGCATGCCAAGGAATTGTTGAAATAGGGAAGGGAGTTGGCTTTACCATCACAGCCTTCTCTCAGAGGAATGAGAACCACTTAAATTACCTCCAGTACTGACATTTCTACCGGGTGGCATCTTACTGCAATCATTAACAGTATTGGGGCAGTTGCCTCTCTCAGGTAGATCATACCTATCAGTGAGTTCCTTATAGCCCTCCTGTCCACTGACATTGTCATTAGCCACTGATAGCTGCTTAAGATTTTTTGGTGGAGGGGGAGGTGTATTTCCTAACTGTTTAGAACTTGTGAAATTCTGCGTATCTAAGTACTCAACATACTGTAGACATGATCTAGGATCTTCTGGTGCTCTTTCAATATCTTATGAATCATAATATCAACATCTAGATTGCCTAGAACCTGGGTGTTGTAGAATTCAACATGCCTCTGGGTCTTCTCACTCCTTAACAGTTTCTTCATCGATTTTCGGGCCGATATGGCACTAGGCGTCCGATCCCGAAAA